TTACAACACACACACACACTCTTTACAACATACGGAAGAGACAGAATGATAAAGGGACAATTTTAAAACACCAGGTAGGTAGAGATGAAAGCAGTACTGATGTGACCAATCATGACTACCTAGAATGCCAACCTAAAGCACCTGAACCATCGTCATCTACGAGCAGCAGGAGTCACTGAGGGTTTCTGAGCAGGGGAAGACCATCAACAAAGCTTTCTCTTAGGAAGAATTTGGCAACTAGGAAAGAAGAATATGGAAGAAAGAAAACTGTGCTGTGTTTCTTCCTGCCTCTGAGCTATAACATGGCTCTAACCCCAGCTTCATCCCACCCCCACCCTCCATTCCCCCAGGCTCTGCCCTGCAGTCTGAGTACCTGGAGAAAGACTTTAAGACCTGCTTCCTTACAGCCTATGATGTATCTCCAGGCCCACGCTGGTTAGGCCACTAGGTATTCGCAGGCTTGACTGTATTAGTCATGAGCATCCTCTGATTCCAGCCAATCAGATGGCAGTCTCTGAGGGGACGACTCTCTTCCCAAATCCCCTGCCTTTGTCCTGGAAAGGAGTCGGGTTCCTTCACATAGACAGACCTCTGATGAAGAGAGACAGAGAAGGGGCAGGCCTGGCTGTCTGTCCTGGGGACTTAGTTCTTGGGAGAAGTGCAGACTGCCAGCCAGGCGGACACTGAAAACCACAAGAAGACCAGAACCTAATTCAGGTGGACTACCTCCACGCCCCTCCAAAATGTAGCCTTCCTCCCAAATAAATGTGCCATATGGCATTCCGTGGTCCATTTGCTCCAGCCTGGCACCTGGAGGATTTTCTATGGTCTGCAGATCTTGAGCTTGTAAAATGCAATTCTAAAAAAGGAATTTAGCAGAATAGTCAGCTGAGGTGGCAGATTTCCCTTCTCCACTCTCTCTCTCCTCACCATACCACAATCAGGGAAAATACCAGTCTTCGAGGAAGCAATGTAGGTTTTGGGGAGCAGGCAGGAGCAAAAGCAAGTCCAGCCCCAGAGGTTTGACAGAGATGGGTTCACTCATCCCACAAGTATTTCCTTGGGGCCTCTCTGTGCTGGCCCATTCCAGCTCCTAGGGAACCTGGGACTTGGCAATGGAGTCAGATATATAAGGAGGCAGAAAGATGACTGCAACAAGGTACAGCAGTAGTCGCAGAGCGGATAATTAAGGGGTAATTAAATATCTGGGAGGTGAGGCTTCCTGAAGGAAGCAACATCCAAGCTGAATTTTGAATAGGAGGTGACTGGCACACAAGACAGGGAAATGGACAGTTTATACCCAGGTATATAGGTAGGAAAAGAGAGGATCTATTTCCCTCTGGAGAAGACAAGTCATTGCTATGTTCAGACATATGGAAAAGGCAGGTACCTTGGGGAGTTGAGGCTGGACACACAGTCAGGGGCTAAAGAGAAGGTCAGAATTAGGAAAAATAGAATGTAGCTCAGGGCAGAGGTTAGATTAAGATTAGTTCTGGGATTTGGATTCAGGTTGAAGGGAGATGTTTAGCTGCATCCAGTTATTGTTTGTGGTCCTCAGTTGGTTTTGAGTCAGCTTGGACACATTTTGGGTCCCTGCAACAGAACAAAATGTGGCCTGCTCCTGGCCCACTTCATAAACCTCCAACCTTGAGGGCTCATCTCCGTTGATGAGTTTTCATTGGTTAATATCTGGAGGTACATTGCCAGGCCTTTCCTAGTCTGTCTTAATTTAGAAGCTCTGCTGAAAGCTGTCCACCATGGGTGATCCTGCTGGTATTTGAAATACCAGTGGCAAAGCTTGAAGCATCCTTGTAACATGCAAGTTACCACAGTACAACTGACAGATGGGTGACGGGTATCAGATTATTTGATAGCAAAATAATAAAAGTACATGAGCTTTACACATATTGTCTCATTTGAAATTCAGAACAAATCTACAAAGTCAGACTGTTCTTATCCCCACTTTGCAGGTGAGGAGACAAAGGTTCAGAGAGGTCAGAAGATTTTACGCAAGGTCACAAGCTTGCTAAATGGATGAGCAGGTAGGCAGACACAGATTTATGGTTGAGCACAAAGCTTGGAGTCAGATCAGCTTCAAATATGTACTGTTTGTCAGCTTTGTGATCTTAGGGAAACCTTCTGCTTCATTTAGCTTCAGTTTTCCCATCAGCAAATGGAACGGACAGTACCCAACTCCTCGGACTATTACAATGCTTAAGTAAGATAATACATCTAAAGCAACAATCCACAGTATCAGGTCCCTTTACCAACCTCAGTAGCAATTGGGTGAAAATTGGATTTTGCACCAGGTTAAAGTTAGGATTTGAAGTCTAGATGGGACTTCTCTTATGCTAGAGCTCCTTTATGAACTTGGATTTAGAGAAGTATTTGCACTAGGAACTTGTCTTGTCACAGTAAACTGTGGTGAATTAGCGTTGGAACTTTTATTAGCAAATAACTCTCAGTTCTCCCAATAATCTAACGATATCTTTCTGATCTGAATGGGCAAACTAAACTATTTCAATAGTCCACAATTCAATTATTTCCCCCCAAATTATGTTGGCCATTCTGAAAAACCCTGGGAGGTAAGCAGCAGATAAAGAAAGACTTGGAGAAGGGGTGGAAAGATGCAGACGTAGTACTTCTGTTGCTGAGGGTGGGGAGGAAAGTTTATATTCCCCAGACCAAGTTAGCCACAGCCTGGGAGGTGGACTCTGTTCTCCTCTCACTGTTGGAAAACCAAGGAAGCTGGCTGATTCACAGATTTCCTCTAACGTCTGCTTTTCGTGTTCTGCCTTATTAGGAAGGCTTAGTGTATGCAGTGGGTGAGGTGAAAGGCACAGAAAAGTCGGACCTTCAACATGCTGGATATTTTCATCCAGGCATGACTACCCTTTGACTTGGCAACTGTGCTTCAGACAAATGCATCTTACAAGAATTCTATGAGTGAGGGCCCTGGCAGGAAACAGATGCCACCCTCAGACTGGGCCAAGAAGGAGAGTTTAGTAAAGGGACCATGCACAAAGGTGTGGGCAGGGCTTAGGGAACCAACAGGGGACGCAGTGTCCTGGGCTTGCAACAACAGTACTGTAAGTACCTTTAGTGGGAAAGTAGTGACTGGAGCTTAAGAGAGTCCTGACAAGAGCCATGGTCTTTAGTCAGGACAACTCTGCAGGAAAGGAGCTCAGGGAATAAATACCCAGACATCTCTCTTCCTCCTGCCTCCCACTGGACAAACCCAACCAGAAGCCAGAGGACAGGAAGTTCGTTAATGAAATCCATACAGACAGACCAGCCTTTGGGGACAAAGCAAGGTGGAGATGGTTGGCAAGGGAACCTGAGGGTCAAATAGATGACTCCGAATAAACTGTCATTACACTGTCCACTGACCAGGCCAGGGCTGCTGGGAAGCATCTGTCCTTGGATAATCCCACCCTCTTTTATGGTTGACTTTGGCCCCAGGGTGGGAAGCAGCCCAGGGGGGTTTTCAGACCTAGAGGGGAGTCTGAAGGGTTGCTGGAAAGGACTGTGACAATACTGGCCTTACCCTCCTATCCATTTATTGATGTGTTCTTTCATTCTGTTTGTTCAGCCAACTTCTCCTGAAAATGACTCAGTGTCCAGCCAGTGCTGGGAGGCAAGGACACAACAATGAAGAAAGAGGGAGCGGCCCCAACCACCCTAGACTTCAGAACAGACAGCCATGGTGGGTTCCATTCACCAGCTCCAAGAGCAGATCAAAAGAGATTGGTCACCTTTTCCTTCCAGATTTTTCCTGAGCATTCAAACAGACATTTCTGAAAAGCACAACATCTGCTATTTGTGTTAACAAACAACACCCTCTCCCCAACCCCTTCCCAACACACACATGTTGTTGTTGTTAAGTGCCATAGAATCAGTTCCGACCCATAGCGACCCTGTATAGGGTTTCTAAGGAGCGGCTGGTGAGCTTGAATGGCCGGCCTTGTAGTTCAAACCAACTTTGCAGTCCAGCGCATTAACCCACAGCGCCACACCAAGACTCCATACACGTGTACATATTCACCATCTTATTATCTGGCTCTGTGGCTTTGTTTGCAATTATATCATACAAGTTGTTGCAATTTATCTCTCCCCACAACCTCCTTTCCGTGTCCCAGAAGATAAATCCCAGAAAGCCTGTGCTCTCGGGAATTGAGTTTACAACACCCAACAAATATTATACTGCGGCCAGTCCTGAAGACAGCCCTGGTTAGTAGATAATCGTGGTATGGTGGAGGTGGTGTGCCGTGATATTGGTTCTGACTCATAGAGACCCTGTATAGGGTTTCCGAGGCTGTAAATCTTTACGGGAGCAGAAAGCCTCATCTTTTTACGTGCAACGGCTGGCTGGTAGTTTTGAGCTGCTGACCTTGAGGTAAGTAGCCTGACTCATAATCAGTACGCTAGGCAATCACACTAGTCCTATTTTACAGATGAAGAAACAGCACAGAGAGGTTAAGCAACTTGCCCAAGGGCTCAGAGTCAGTAAGTGCCAGAGCCAGGACTTGAACACCAGAAGTCCGGGTCTCAAATCCAGCGCTCGAGTGCAGAAATGAATCCACGTCAATCAATGTACAGAGGACTATGAAAGGCCATCCCATCCCATCCCTGGCCGCCAAGGCTCAGTGCCGGGACAAAGGCCCAGCGGGGACCGGACGTGTGCCAGCGGGGGCCGAACGCCGGCTGTGGCGCCCGGCCCTTTAAGGGGGGCGGGCCGTGGCAAGCGGGG